GTTTTGTAAGGACATAACTTCTCCTTCCTCACTATGAGAGGAAAACAAGAAACTACATTGTCAATGCTCTTGAATAAGAGTTCGTTCCTATGTAAATAAAACTTCAGCTATTTAGTCCAAATGATGAGGCTAGGAATATGAACTCCTTCAAGAAAAGTAAGATTTCTGAATTATTTTAATCATGGCTTCTCTTAACATTTCATTTGGTCTAAGCATCTCAAAGAAAATTTTACATTTCAAAGATGATAAGAATCACTTTATACAGAAGCACCACTTACCCACAATAACAAATCCATCTGCTTCTCTCTCTGGCACTGTAACCTTCTTTGAATCTTGACTTTTTCGGAAGAAGCTGAACATAGCCTCTTTTTTTTTTCTTCTAAGTCGTTATCTAAAATGAAGACAAAACATGTTAAATAAATATAAGAGAACAGAATTTACCATAAGAAGTTCACACCATGCCAAAGGCCTTAAACATGATATTACAGCTTAATCTTTATTACCAGATTTGAAATATCAGGCATTTGTATGTCAGACAGATTACCTTGTTGATGTAGCAATTGACTTCAATAGGCAAAAAAAGAGTGAAGTATAAAAGGTTTTTCTATAAAGTTATGAACGGTATGGAACCATTAAAAAAAAACAACTTCAACCTTTCTAAAGGAAAGTGAAAGAAGGAAACTCCCTTCAGCATTTATCCAGCGTGTTTCCCTATTTTTCTGCTACTTCGAATTGTTGTTACACAAACTTTCTCATCAGAGTTAGTTCTAAAGCATCTAAATTTTGAAGCCCAGAACATGATCCTATAGAAAGTGCAGCTTTATAATGCAGGAATATTTGAATGAAGCAAATTACACTAGAGATTTTCAGTCTTAAGTGTCTGTGCATCAATTAAAAAGACCAACCCACCCACCCCTACAATATTAGCATAGTATCTATTTTCATTTTTCCAGTTTGCAATCTTAGAGACAGCTTAACACTTGGGTGTAATTGGATTAACAGTTACCACTGATTCCCTTAAAAGAAACTGCAACAAAATAATACGTTGCAAATTTTTCATAACAATAATTCATTAAAAGAATCTTCCAAAGCAGCTAAGAACTCTGAGTTCACAACAGCTAGAACAAAACAAGGAAACCAGTGGGATAAAAACATTAACTGCAAAAGATTATGCTCAGTATCTCTTCTCTCTCAAGACTGGAAGATTACATAGAAGCAATTCTGAATAGCTTAAAAAGGACAAATTAATTAAAAACCCCATGAGCATTAGCCAAAAGATAGGCAGTTGGTCCAGATTTTACAAAATTAAGTCCTATGAACCACCCCATAAACACGGATACATCATGAAACATTCTTCTAAGCAAATTCTCTAATTATTCTGAACTTTAAGATGTAGACTCGAGCAAGTTTCTCTTTCAAGAAAAGTTATAAGAAAAGCTTTATGACACTTTTTTCACAAGTGTCACTCTTGTGAAGAACAACCAACAGAACTATACAAAGCACGTATTCACAGGTTCAGCTTATTGAGAGGACTACCAATGTACCACCACCTACTTTCTATTTTCTACCTAACTGGCACCACTGAATGCACCAAGTCTCCCCTGCCTCCTCCCGCAACAGCAGCTCCGTCCGTAGCCCTGGGCCGATGAGAAAAGGAAAGGCACTGCAGCAGCAGTCGCCCCTTGAAGGTGTGCTCGCCTCCAGTCCCCAAGGGCTGAACTCAGACCACTGGACAATGCTGACTATGGAGCAGCCTGTGATCTGGCTGGAACACGCTGTGTGCCAAATGCAGAGGGGAAGGTTTAAAGAAATGTACGTGAAGCTCTTCTCTTCTAAAATACCAATATAGAAGTGGGAAAAGTGGAATAATGTAATTTCAAGTTTGAAGTAGAGTTTGAGGAGCAGAATCCTGATTTACTTTGCAGACACCAACATTTAAAGGAGAAGGGACTGACAAACCGATAGCAACGTCTAATATACACCTCCAACAGAGGAAAGGAGTCCAGTCTAAAGAAAAGAGGTGTACACTGTCAGGTTTCAATAACATTATTTCACACTAAATTTAACAAAGACAGCTCTTTAGAAGGTGGGAAAGAGAGAATAGTGCTGCCATGTAGTGTTTGGATTTAAAAAAAAAAAAAAGAAAGAAAGATAAAAATCCTGGATTAATTATTTGCCAGAATTCCTCACTTCCCACCCAAATATTCATGGTCCCATAAGCAAGACTTTTTTTGCCCTAGCCAGTGACCTGTAGCAATTAACTGCACAATCAGCACTGACTATTCACCAGATAGAAACTGCCTCACACTCTGCTGTTACAAGCCATAGCAAACACTTCCATACTCCACATCACAGAAGGTCTTATATGAAGTGTAAGCACTGGCTTTCAGGAACAGTATATAAATAGAACATGGCAAAAGCAGCAACGATTCAACTGTGGCCTGACACCTGAGACTTAAAGACTGAATACCCTGCAGGCCGGCCAGCTACCGCTTGCTTATGCTGACGCAGTGCAATTTCTAGCAACCAAATAAACTACATGGATGTACACAAGAACAGAACAAACCATCCAATCCCAGGTATGCAGTAATTAAAAAAAAACGTTACTTATCTGCACTTTATTCTTTTTTGCTTGTTTTCCTACCTTACCACGTGAAATACTGATATTTCCAGTTCTGTGGAGATTACACAGTAGAAACTCCTAATTATCTCATTTATTCCTTACCTTCCCCCACACCCAGGCTCAACACATGGCGCCAGCAGCATATTCCTTTTTCAGCCCTCAGGGAATAAGTCTTCTCCTGCTACCAATTAGGGTTGTCAGTCCCATAGCTCAAGTGGTAAAAACCTGTGCTGTAATGCTCAAGAGTCAGGTTTCTGCTCCGATGATGTATGAAGGAGAGGCAGTTGTGGAACAGTTTAAAATGCAATTTTACCTTCGTTCTAAGTGTGCAACAACAAGAAGCAAAATCAACTTGATGTGTAAAATCTTACAGATAGCTTTGGTAAAGGCTCAGATTCCAGTCAGCCGCTTCAGGTGCCAGAGCTGCAATTGCTCCAATCACATTTTTTTCCTCTTTGAAATCTACATTATTGTACGGTTTTCAGCTCTATCACACAGTGTTCCCCTTCCCTTCTTTCTTGCACAAAGAAAAGCATCTTAATCAGTATATACGTGGCACAAAAGAGTTGTATAGGAAACCATGCATTTGTCATCTTTTAAATCCTGCATATTTAACATACCTAACTTCACTGCTTAAAGGACAACAGACATTTCAATTCAGAGTAAATTAACAACCAGTACAATTTGATCTAGCCAAATTAATGTTACAAGCACTTTCATATACTAGATTTTTTCCTTTCGTTGACAGAAGGCAGCCTGAGTATCCCAATTTTTTCTAAAACCCACAAAATTCACCTTATCTACATACATGAGGGTTGATCTTTACTTTGTAGTTTTCAGTTTCTGAAGTAGCTTTAACTTAGTTCCACTGCCAGCAGTATTTCTTAAACAGAAAACAAACAAAAAAAATCCCACACATCCTTTTGCTTGAAGCAGAAAAACAAACAAAGGTAACAAAAGTACCCCCTAAGCTCAGGCCTCAAGTTCTTATGCTGTTAAAACCACTGGTCCAGCAGTAAGAAAACAGCATATGTTGTATTTTGTGACTGTGAATGTTGGGGAGGTGGTAAGGAATCCACATATTAAAAAGACTAACGTCCGTAGTGAGGCTGTTTCCTTCTCTGGGCGTTCACCACTTAGAAACAAAACTTGTGCTCCTAGATCTCAAGTCTGTGTAACTGATGTGGAGGAAGGAGCTCGCCAGCTACTACTTGCAGTATTTCAGTACCTTTGCTGAACACAGTATTAAGTTCAAACTAAATAACAAAGAACGACTAACAAAACAAAAGGGGGGCACAGAAAAAGTAGAGCTGTATACAGTATGGCATAGGTAAAGGAAAAGCTGTAGACAGGCACTGCTGGGACATCTGTGATATTTGCTCTCTTAAGAATTTTATCAACTGTGGTACTTCAAAAGTAAACATAAATCTCTCCAGCAACAGGAAATGCAACCACTAAATTTCTTGAATTACATGTTAAAAACAGAACAAAGCCCCTGTCCAACAAAGAAACACGAAGCTGAATGGAAACACTCGTGCTCTTGATGATAAGGACACAGTTTAAGCACTTGCAGAATCAGGCTGGAGTTTTACTACTTGTAGATAAGATGAGGTTTCAGTTAACGAAAGCTGAGAACAACCAGTTTCCGCACAAGTTTCATTTCAGAGTAAAAATTAAATTTGACGTTTGTGGACCTGGATACATGGTCACACAGACTAGAGAAAAAAGCTCTTAGTTGTGGGGTTTTTTTTAAAAGCTGTCAGCACAAAATCACAGAAAATACACCCGCCACTCAGAGATAGTACCACGTCCCTGCAGTAATTTCTCCTATAGAGCACAGCACTTTTTCCTTCCAGATGGGATTAATTTTATTTCTACAGGAGACCTGAAATTTAATTCACTGCCTAAAGATAAAAATCTCCCTTGGTAGGAATATACAATTCCCTTCTCCTCATGTTTCCCCCTCCCCAAAAAGTGAACGCAATTTTTTCTTTCTCCAATCTCAATTGCCGGTAGTTAAGAATAATACTTTTGGCACCACTTCAGTCATTAGCAAGTAATAAACTGTGAACCATAGCAATTCTGTGAGGCTGCAAAAAATATTTTGTCTTTCTGAGAGGCTCTGAGAACATATGTGGGATTGGACAAAGATGAGTTACAGAGCTGCACAAAGGAGTTAATTTATTCCTCCTGCATTTTGTCAGTCTCCTTTGACAAGAAGTATGGGTGACCTTTGAGACAAACTAATACGTTAAATCCAACAAAATTTTTCTATACAATGAAGATCCTAGCATATTTAGCATTACTTTTTAGTTTTTTCCTGCATGTTCACAAGTGACAGGAGGAGAAAGGTAATTTAATATTAAAAACACCAAAGATGCAGACTGAGATAAACAGAGGATGCCCAGGAATAGAGCAAAGCAGAATTGCAGTGGCACTGCCGGTAATTACATAAATGATGAAATGAGGTCAGAACAAGATACAAAACTGACCTTAAAGAAAGAACCAGAGTAATTTCACATCTAGCAGTTTAAGCTCTATAATCTATGGAAGGAGAAAACAGAGAGCATCAGAGCAATTCTCTTGTCCATATTAGCATCTGCTGTGATTCACCAATAAAGTAGCAATCGGAAAAAGAGAAAGGTATTTACAGCCCTGTACAGCCCTGCTTATGACATGAAAACAACCAATTTAAGAGTCAAGAACATGCATGTCAAAAAGATTTCTCTGTGACACCAAAAGAACAGTTTAAAAGCTTTTGGCCTAGTGTAAGTTACTATGTGTAGAAAAAAAAATCCAACATATAATTTCTTTTATCTGGCATTAACATTAGTCATATTACTTCAGTTTGTGCTTCTTGAAAACAGAAGGAAAGTGTCAAGAGAAACACAAATACAAAAAAGGGATATACATATAACAAAACACTAACAAAGACTTTTTTACTTACATAAAATGTGAATATTTATTTTTAAAGTTTTCATAAAATTTAAGGGAAGCAGAAATACCAAGAACTATGCAACCCAAATTACCATAGTATAAAAACACTCGAAGATGCTGAATCATCGACAATCAAGTCAGACAATAAAAGCATAGGTGACAAAGGCAAAGCCAGGAGTGACATAACAGTACTCAAACCAATGTCAACATTCAAAACCCTGAAGAAGACAGAAAATGCTAAAATAGAAAGCTAGGTGTTTATTAGATACAATACTCAATAGGTTGAAACCTACTTCTTTCCTTGCAGTTTCCTTTTGGCTGCAGACCTTCAACAGCTGCTAAGCATGATAGAGACACATATTTGTAAGAACTTCTACACTGTGTTTTTCTGACAGCTGACCCTTCAAACATGGCAGACAAATAGCCTCAGAAGAGCCACTTTGCAGCAACCTGCTGCACCTTGCTCCAACTGTTACATTTATGAGGGCTCTCCTTTAAAATCTCTGAAGATAAAGTAAGGAGATGAGGATATTCTCTTGCAAATAAACTACTGAAAAGGTGAATGGCATAGTGACACTGAGGAGATGACAACCAGCTACACCCCATCGAAGATATAACCCCACAGCACTCCCCTTCCCGGCCACACGCTGGTTCTGCACAGCTTCTGGCGGTAGCTTGCTTCCTTGGCAAGCTGGTTCAGCTAGCCGAGCCATCACAACACTAACCCAGCCAACTAACAAAACCCACTTTGTGCTGGCTAGCAAGCTGAACTAACCTGTGGCTGGTTAGAAGAGACAGCCAGCACATAGGCGGTGTTGGGATCGCCCTTTTAAGCCGGAACAGAGTTAGATTTTCTCAAGTATTTCCTGAAACACCGGTCCTGGAAATGCAAAGGAAATCACAGAACCACAGAATGGTTGAGGTTGGAAGGGACCCCCAGAGGTCATCTTGTCCAACGCCCTGCTTAAGCAGGGTCCCCTAGAGCTGGTTGCCCAGGACCATGTCCAGATGGCTTTTGAATACCTCCAAGGATGGAGACTCCACAACCTCTCTGGGCAACCTGTGCCAGTGCTTGGTCAGCCTCGAAGTGAGAAAAGTGTTTCCTGATGTTCAGAGGGAACCTCCTGTGTCTCAGTTTGTGCCCCTTGCCTCTGGTCCTGTCACTTGGCACCAGTGAAAAGAGCCTGGCTCCGTCCTCTTTGTGCCCTCCTTTCAGGTATTTATATGCATTAATAAGATCCCCCTGAGCCTTCTCTTCTCTAGGCTAAACAGTCCCAGCTCTCTCAGCCTTTCCTCATATGTAAGACGCTCCAGACCCTTAATCATCGTTGTGGCCCTTCGATGGACTCTCTCCAGTATGCCCACGTCTCTCTTGTACCCAGAACTTGGACCCCGCGCTCCAGGTGTGGCTTCACCAGTGCTGAGTAGAAAGGAAGGACCACCTCCCTCGACCCGCTGGCAACACTACATCTAATGCAGCCCAGGATACCATTAGCTGCCTTTGCTGCAAGGGCAATTGGGAGAAACCTCTCCACGCAAGACAGTCAGGGAAAACACACGGAAAAAGGCAAGACATATGGTGAGAGTGCTATGTCCAGATGCTCTGTCTTACGTCCATCAGTTGCTCTAATCCTGGAGATCGAGTGTAAGCTCTTTAATGGTGAAATGAAATGAAATGAAATGAAATGAATAGAACAGAACAGTTCACTTGGAAGGGACCTACAATGATCATTTAGTCCAACTGCCTGACCATTTCAGGGTTGACCAAGTTAAAACATGTTATTAAGGGCATTCTCCAAGTGCCTCTTGAACAGTGACACACTTGGCCATCTACCTCCTCTCCAGAAAGCCTGTTCCAGTGTTTGACCACCCTCTCAGTAAAGAAATGCTTCCCAATGTCCAGTCTAAACCTCCCCTGGCGCAGCTTTGAACCATTCCCATGTGTCCTATCACTGGATACCAGGGAGAAGAGATCAGCACCTCCCTCTCCAGTTCCCCTCCTCAGAAAGCTGTAGAGAGCAATGAGGTTGCCTCTCAGCCTCCTTTTCTCCAAACCAGACAAACCCGAAGTCCTTAGCTGCTCCTCATAGGACATGCCTTCCAGCCTCTTCACCAGCTTTGAGGCCCTCCTCTGGATGCAACTGCAGTGCACAGAACTGCATATAATACTCAAGGTGAGGCTGCACCAACGCTGAATACAGTGGGATAATCACCTCTTTTGGCCGGCTGATTATACTGTGTTTGACACACCCCAGGATGCGGTTTGCCCTCTTGGCTGCCAGGGCACACTGCTGACTCATACTGAGCCTGCTGTCGACCAGCACCCCCAGATCCCTTTCTGCAGG